CTAAGCCTTAGAGGCATAGTTTATCTTTTAATATAAAAAAAAATAGGCCAAAGATTTATGGAGTTACATCATTGACTTTTGTTTTAGTGACCAACCCCCCCCCAAATACAAGAAGCAAATTTTAACAGTGCAACATTTTTAAAGCCACTTTTACTTCATTCAGTCATACATTTAGAATTAGAAGTAGCCTTAGAGGTAGTGATGGCCTCATTTTACAGATGAGGAAATTGAGGGTCAGAGAGGTTGAGTGACTTGTCCATGGTCTCATAGGCAGGAAGTTCCTGAGACAGGATTTAAACCCAGGTTTTTCTTGTCACTAAGTCCTGTGCCCTTATCCAGTATATGACATTGACTCATACTTAGGGATATTCACATTATTTTTATATTAAAAATTATATAAAATAAATTTTAGTGTGGAATTTGACCATATTTAACTATTTCTTTAATGTTGGTCTGTATAAAATTTCCTTGCCTACTACTTTTCTTTTTTCATATTTGATGGATTATGCATTTATTGATGTTTTTATTCCCTTTACCAGTTCAGCATACAGTCCATCCATGATTTTTCATCTTTGTTATTTTTGCCAATATCTTTCTATAAATGTTCCAGATACCGTCTGTCTGACATGTTATAGAATTTCCTCCAGGTCTCAGCTTTGAAAAAGCAAGAAGTATCAATTGATGCACAAAATTTTTATTATAATTTTACTGTGAAATAAACATTTTCATCCTATGTCTGTTTTCTTTGACTTACGGATTTTAAAAAATGTTGGTACAGATTGGTCCTTTAGAGTATTTTTAAATTACACACCTTCTGGGGTTAATATTTAATGAACACCAAGGCTATTTTTAGGATATTATCTGTTTCACTTTGTGATTTTCCTCTCCTTCCTATCCGTCGGTCATCCCCTCCCTCCCTTTCCTCCTCCCCCTTCCCCGATATACCTATCCCTAATGATGCATTCTGTACTGTCTGTCTATAAATTATCATTATTAATATTATACAGTTTATACCCAACCATGTGCCTCTTCATTCACTTTTGGGTCACCTTCCATTCTGATTCTCTTGAGATAGTGATGTTCTATGATTTATGACTATATAGCATCATTAAGAGAATATTAATTTTAAAAAGGTGGTCCATTACATCAAACAACAAGTTGTGATCATTGGACGTACACCACAGTTTCCCAAATGGAATATAGTTGTTTCTACTCCTGTTCAGATCATTGTCCATCTGAAGTACACAAACAAGGTATAGTACATATGTCAATAACTCAGTTGAACTGCATATCATATTCTTGCATTCCTAATCCATTATTTAATTTTCTTTTGTGGATTGCTAAACCAGTCTCTTTTGAGTGACCACATTTTCATATTCATATTCATAACAAGGATAAACAGTTCCAGTTCTGAAAATGGAATTAAAATGGCTTTTTTCTTCTTTAAGGCAATACCAATTTCTCAATGACCCAGCTACACACTTCCCTGGACCCGTCTTCTTTTCCCCAGCTTCCCAATAACCTAATCTTCATTTGCCAAAGCTTTGCTTCTTCTTCTTATTCATTCTCTTTTATATCCTTTCCCAGTTAACACAAACTTAGTTCAGGCTTTCATTGTCTTTTACCTGGATTATTGCAGTAGCTCCAGCCATTATTCCGTTCTCCCCAGCAAGTCAGTACACCATTCTCCCTAATGTTGCATTTCAGTTATTCCTAATTAAGCATTTGAATATGCTAGTGATAACCTAAGTGATATTGTGTTGTTTTAAAATTTTGCCATCTTTAAAGATTATTAAAACTTTTAATGCTATTATGGAGCAGCTAGGTGATACAGTGGATAGAGCACTGGGCTTGGAATCAGGAAGACTCATCTTCATGAGTTCAAATCTGGCCTCAGACACTTACTTGCTGTATGACCCTGGGCAAATCACTTCACCCTGTTTGCCTTAGTTTCTTCATCTGTCAGATGAGCTGGAGAAGGAAATGGAAAATCAGTCCAATATCTTTGACAAAAAAACTCCAGATGGGAATCATAAAGAGGTAGCCACAACTGAACCTTAACAATAACAAAAATGCTGTTGCATTGTGAGACAAGGTAAACTAAATAACTTAAAAGCATGTTAATTAATTTCCTCCTAATATGAAGTTACCACATCACTTCCCTCTCTCCCCAACCTTTCCCACCCCAGTGGCTTCCTGTAGTCTTCAGATCAAATATGAAATCCTCTGTTATTCAGAGTCATTTATAACCTAGCCTTCTCCTACCTATCCTGTCTTCTTAGGTCTAACTCATTTCCACACAACTCTTCCATCCAGTGACCGCAATGAACTCCTTTCTGTTCTTTCTTCTTTCTTCTTAGTGGATAGTGATAGAAATGTTATTTAAAAAGAGAATTAATAAACACTTTTTAAATATAGGGAAGAAAGAAGTATAGAAAGGTACACAGAGCATTTTTATTATTATCTCATTTTATACACATACATATTTTAAAAAGCTGTTTATAGTTTAATAGTTTCTTGTTCTTTGTATTGAAATGTTTGCGTTTTATGAACAAATTTCTCCTGGGGAGAATACAAGATGAACAAAGCAAAGTTTACATGATAATGTGAAAGTTTAGAATAAGAACTTGTTATAGAATCCCATTTATTATTTTGAAACATATGTGCCGTTAAAACTTCTAGCTAAAAACAGCAATAATTTTATTTTATCTTTTACCTGGGTCATCAAGGAAAATTGAAAAGGAAAATTATTTACCTTTAACAATCATAGCTGTAAAAATAACACCATAAAGTAATACAATTTCTTCTAGATACCACTTCTTACTTTGAGTAGTAATGTCTCATTATTTTGTAGCTATCTATGCCTTAATATAAGTAGTAGAATTCATTATTATTATTATTATTGGTCATTCTAGTTCATCTTCACCTCAGTGATTTAGGCAATAGATACTGCTCATTGAGCTGTGACCTTTTTTCTTTGCTTTAGCCTTTGAAACTTTTCTCTGTGGTTCATTTGGACAGAAATTTCTAAAGAACTTTATTCACTGTTGCATATGACTTATTAGTCCCATTTGTTTTGCTTTTTATTTTTCTTGTATAGGTTCATATATTTGGTCCAGAACTGTGATTTTGTTGATGTAGTGTGGAAATTATTTTCACTGATAACACACTGTCAACTGCTATGTCACTTAGAGAAAGATGATTTTAGAGAAACTTGAGAATCCTCGTGTGGACTGATACAGAGTAAAGTGAATAGAGCTGAGAGAACAATTTGTACTATAACATCAACATGGCAAAAACTATTATGGGAGAAATTTCTCCTTTCTGAGTTCATGTGATTGATAACTGCTGCCAAAATATATTTATGACAATTTAGAAATTACAGAAGTAAAAACTTAAAAAAGCTTTATTACTATACTGAAGCATAGGTTCAGGCCTCAGAGAAAACCTGAACAATTAGATTCTAACTAGGATTCTTATAGGCAAAATTATATCAGAATGACAGAGAAATCATTGTTCTTAGGCCATAAAAGTTAAAAGAGAAGATAGATTTGTAATCCCTTATGACAAAGAAATGCTTTAAAAAACAGAGGGGAAAAAGAGAAAGAAGAAAAAATTTCAGCAAAATGGATAAATACTCCCCCCAAAAAAAAAATCTGATGAAATATACAATGTTTCACATCCCTTGACCCTGACATCTGCAAAGGGACAGGGAGAAGTGTCTTCTTATTTCTTTTCTTTGGGGCCAAACTTGGATAATTGACATTTATATGGGGCTTTAAGGTTTAGAGAAATTTTACATACGTTATCTCATTTGCTCTTTATCACAACCTGTGAAGTAGTTACTAAAGTTACTATTATCCCTGCTTACTAGTGAGGAAACTCTCTGAGATGTTAAATGACTTGCCCATGGTCACAAGACTGTTAGGTATCAAGTGTCTTTTCCCAAAGCTCTGCTGCCTCCCTTACTAATACTTATTGGTCTACCTGTTTCCCTCCCCTTTTGTACAGCTTTAAATCAACTAATTTATATTTGAAGGATTTCTGCTTTCTAAAACAAACATTTGTATTCCTTGGATTGTGACTCATAGAACAAGGTAAAGGTAGTGAGTGCTGGTTACTTAAGCCCCTTTAACACACCTAAAAGTGATTTTGTTTCCTTATTTCAGAGATTTGGGGAATTAAAACATGATACTGGCTAAAGAAAAAAAGCCCAGGATCTTATGAGATGTTTGAGTCAGACAAATATTTATTAGCTGCCTACTGTATGCTAGGCACAGAACTGGACATACAAGGGGGGGAATCCAGTTTTCTGCCCTCAAGGAGCATATATTTCTTTTGGGGCAGAAAACATGTACACATAAGTATATACACAACTTATACAAGGTAATTTTGGGAGGGAACCAAACACTAGGCAGCTTGGGGGGCGGGAATCAAGAATGATCTTGTGTGGGAGGCAATGTTTGAATGAAGCTTTGATGGAAATTAGGGATCCTTAGAGGTTAAGGTGAGGAAGGAGTTCAGGCATGAAGGATAGGTTGGGCAAAGACCCAGAAGATGGAATGTCACTTTAGAGGAACAGTGTGAGAAGGCACATTTGACCAGGTTGGAAAGTACGTGAAGGGAAGTAATACTAAGGTTGGAAAGCAGGTTGGAGCCATGTTGGAAAGGGCTTTAAATGGCCATCTGAGGAGTCTGTATTTAATTTAAAAGCTAATGGGAAACGATGGGGTTTATTGAGCAGTTGAGTGGCTTCCTCTGCCTTAGAAATATTACTTTGGTAGCTGCATAAGTGGAGGATGGATTGGAGGGGTGTGCATGTTAAGGAGATAACCACCATGGCAAGCCTGCTTAATTCATGATCATTTTGGGGTTGTTGTTTTTGTTTTCTTTAACTTTGAATTTTTCCAAATAAGCATTTATTATATGATATATAGATATATAAATATTTATATATATATATATATACATACATATGTACATATATTTTTTAATATTAGGTGCTGCTGGTGAGCAGTAGTCGTCATCCAGACAAATGGATTGTCCCTGGAGGAGGCATGGAGCCTGAAGAGGAGCCTAGTGTGGCTGCTGTTCGGGAAGTGTGTGAAGAGGTACATATAAAAGAAAAAAGGGAGTGAGCTGTTGAAGACATTTACATTTGCCAGTATCTTGTCTCTTTTTAAGTAGAGATGTTATTTCCTTCCCTTCTAATTTCTTACAGCAGTCTTATTAAATACCCTACCCTATTCTGTTCTATTTGTGTAGTCTTTTAAAATATATCTGCGTATGTAATGCTTTTAGTATTATAGAAAGGTAGTTTTTGATCATTATAACATATTTTGTAGCTTTTCTGTAATCTTGTTACCTCTCAGCAAATTAAGAATCAAGTCATTGTTCAGTCCAAAACTACCTCATGATACAAATACCAGTTACTGTTATTACTCTAACATATATTCTAAAATAGCTTACTACTTCCTACTTTTATGGTGATGAGGAATTTATTGGTCTCTCCCATAATCTAGGCAGTTGCCTAGGAAAAGTGAACTGTTGCAATATCTAATGATTTTTTTAGCTTTGAAACTCCTGAGAGCAAAGTGAAGGAATGAATGAGTGCAAAAGCACGTAGTAATAAGCACTTACTAAGTGCCCAGTGCTATGCTAAATGCTAGGGCTTCAGATAGAAAAGCAAGACAGCCTAATAGAGCAGAGGTTCTTAACCTTTTTTGTGTCATGGCTCCCTTTGGCAATTTAGTTGAAGCCTGCGGTTCACTCTTCAGAATGATATTTTTAAATAAGTACATTAAAAAGGATTACAAAGGAGACCAGCTATATTGAAATACAATTATCAGAATATTAAAGACAACATAGAAGTTAATAAGGCCCCGGGCTTTAAGAACCTTTGTAATAAGAGATACAGTGTATATGGGAGATTCCAACTGCCGGTTGAATGTATTCAGTCTGTGCCACAAAAATTGAACAAATGTATAATAGCTAACACTACTTTTCCCTTCAGGTGATTTTTCTAGATTTTTTTGTTGAGCAAATATGTACTAAGTGCCTACTATGTGCTAGGTACCAGGAAGTTAAGGAAGAAGTAGGAAATAAAATTCCTCTTTTTCAGAGCTTACATTCTGTTGGGGAAATAGTATACACACATGCAACAGGTAGCATTTAAAAATAATATAGAAACAATTAAACAGTAGAATAGTATAAACCTTGATCATACCTTCTTCAGCCCCTTTTTCTTCTACCTTTTAACTGGAGTTTCTCAAGATTTAATTCTTAACTCACTGTTCTTTCTTTATCTGTTCTAGAGCTTTGAGTATTTACTTCTTTATTGAGGATTGAGGGAAGTATTGTGTGCCATCTTTTTGTGGAAGGCGTCTTTGGTCACTTCTCTTATTAATACTTCACCTTCCTCAGATTTTCCTATAGCACTTTGAACTCTCCCTTGCCCCATTTGTTCCTTCCCTGTATATATGTACATGTGATATCCCTGAAGGAGAATGTATGCTCCTTGAGAGCAGGGATTGATTTTTTAAAAATGTCTTTGTATTTCTAGTCCCTAGTCCAGGACCTAACTCAATGTAAGCATTTAATAAAGATTCATTGAGTTTAGTAGTCAAAAAAGGACTGATTATGGAACATAGGACCTGAGTTTGAACACTCGCTCTTATATGCTACCTGTGTGATCTAGGGCAGTTTACAGCCTCTGTGGCCTTGAGTTTTATCGCCTCTTGAGCTAGATGATCTCTAAAGACTCTTCCAGTTCTAAATTTTGTGATCCTACAACTCCACAAATTACATATTTATCCCTTAATGAGCTCTAATCTCATATTTTACACTACTCATAGCCCATGTCCATTTGAGTGTGCTTAAACTCCACATATACCCTAATCCAAATTTATCATCTTTCCTCTCTGATATCTCTGCCACTGGCCTCTTTTTCCAGTATATCCGTGTGACTATGTGGCAGAATTGCCCAGGACTCTTTCCAATAGAAGGATCCCCCGTGTTCATTTTGGATTTTTTTTTTAAGAATATAAACAATTTCTTTATTCACAGTAAGATAAGTTAAATTGATTACTATTCTTCAACAAAAATGTGCTTTGGTCTTACTATAAAGCACTTTAAAATGTTGCTATAGCACAATAATTCTGGAATATGATGTCTTAAAAATGTGTTTTTCTCTGTAAAAATTGATTGATTGGTTATTGTCCTTCCTTCTCAAAGAGTGCCAAAATGACCTCACTGTGCTAGAGTCAAGTTGCCACGTGCCCGACTGTGGCTGATCAGACCAATACGAGCTCGGGATGTTCTACCACAGGTCAGGCACAAATAGTCAGTGCCAACATTTGGGGTGGATTCTCTAAATTTGCACATCTTGTGCTTCTTTTGAGCTACTCCACTTCTGATTTGCTCTTTGAGCACAGCACCTTCTGTGGTGTGGGCATGCCAGGATGAGCAGTCCTGTGCCAGGGTCTCCCGTGTCACACAGTCAGTTCCAAAGTTCTTGAGAGTATCCTCGTATCACTTCTTCTAACTACCATTTGAATGCTTGCCTTGTGTGAGTTCTTCATAAAATAGTCTTTTTGGCAAGCGTACATTTTGTATTCAAACAGTGTGGCCAGTCCATCGGAGTTGTGCTCTCTGAAGTAGAGTGTGAGTGCTTGGCAGTTTAGTTTGAGAAAGGACCTCAGGGTCCCATAGAAATTATATAAACGAAAATACACACAATCTCTACAATTAGGCTGACAAGCCAATTAATGTCAGATAGTGATGACAAATGATACTAGGTGCACAGTGATGCTTGTTATCATCTTTCTCTAGACTGTTATATGAAAAATGAATGTATAGTGGTCTTATTATAACAGACACAGAATCTCAGAGATGGAAGGAACTTCAAAAGATTATCCTTTATCTATCATCCTTTACATAGGGATTATCATGAGAGGTGATATGAAAAGAATGTAGGTCTTGGGATCAGGAGAGAACTGAGCTCAAATCCCAGCTCTGGTACTTACTTGTTAGCCATGTATAACCAATGGGCAAGTCACTCGGTCCCTCTAAACCAAGTTCTTCTTTCTGTTGAGCCAAAATTTACTTCTCCATAACTTCCTCCAATAGCTTTTCATTTTGGGGCCTATCAAAATAAGTCTAATCTCTTCTCTCCATGAAAGCTATATGGGTACCTGAAGATAGATTTCATGGTCTTTCCTAAGTTTTTTCCTCTCCAGGTTTAGCTTCTCAAGCCTCTTTAATAGTTGTTAATCCTCTAAATGTTTTGTTCACTTTGCTGTAAGTGAACTCTGGCTTGTCAATGTCCTTCTTAAAAAAATAAATCAACACAATATATTTTTGATACAGTCTTGTTTGGAAATCTGATCAAAATTGCTTTATAGTAAAAAATGGAGGAGGAGGAAGAAAATTGACTGCATGTCAACTCAGATTCAACAAAGAGTAGCAGCAATACTTGGGATAATATGGCTTAGTTGGGCCTCATACCCAGAATTCTTTAGGCCAATTTTTTTCTCTGCCCAATTCTGAGGCAGTACTACCCTATATAATCTTCCACTACAGTCAGTTGTTACGTTTTGTAAATGATTTTGTATTCTATTTATTTTTTCCCAACTGTGGCCACCATTGAAGACTCTTCTCTTGTCTAGACAATAATTTTGTATAGACTAAACTTCACACTGCTGTTCAATACCATTTCCTCATTTGTAGTGAGCCCTTAATGTATCTCAACACTGTTAGTCATTTAGAGCCAAAATCTATCATGTTAGGGAATTTTGGAAGTACTAATGCTAAAACCATGTTATTTCTCAGCAGCTCCCTAACTCCCTGTTCTGGTTCTTGATACACTCAGAATTTTGCTTTCTTAGCTCCTTGAAACTGTCCATCTTGAAACCTATAGATTCTCTATAGGTTAAGAGTCTGTCCCATAACTGGCCTATAAGGCTTGACTCATTTTAACCACACGTTTTCTCTTGTAAGCTTATTCTTATCTTAGCAACTCTGTCCCCACAAATTACATCTTGTTTTCTGTCTCATTTCCATTCCGATCTTCTAGTGCCAGTTCGTTTCTCCATCTATTACTGACCTCTTTCTGATCAGGCTTTTCATACAAAGTCAATTCCCACATTTCCCTAGAAATAAGATGACTCTTACCTACTCCATAAAGATTGGATTGTGAATATAATGCATATACGATTGGGGAGGGAGGAATATGCCTCATACCTCAAAAATGGACTACCTTTCTGACAGTTCTATAGACTGGAAATCTAGGAATCCTTCATTCCATTTCAAATTGTTCTCTTCTTTACTTGCAGTAGCTGTAACCTCAGTACTATGTTACACTCTGAGTTTCTGGTCTCTCTTCTGCTTTACCCTATATACCACTGCCAGGTTATTCTTACTAAAGAACTGGATATCTTTTCCCTTGTCACTCCCATGCTCAAGTGGCTCCCTTTTCCCTTGTCACATCAAATCTGAACTCCTTAGCTGTAACATTCAAGGTTCTTAATCAGTTGGTAGCTAGCTAACCTTTTCTTATTCCATATCATTTCATCTTGTTATCTTAATCAACCACTTATGCTTGCCTGCAAGTCTTAGAGCATTATAGGATTCAGAACTGGAAGGAATTTTAGAAAGTTTCCAGTCCAAATCTATCATTTAAAAAATAAAATGTATTTATACCCTTTGTTTTTATTACTGTGTTTTTGTTGTTGATGTTGTTGGCAGGGCAATTGGGGTTAAATGACTTGCCCAGGGTCACACAGCTAGCAAGTGTCAAGGGTCTGGTCTGACATTGGATTTGAACTCAGGTCCTCCTGACTCCAGGGCCTGTGCTGTATCCACTGCACCACCTGGCTACCCACATTACAGTCTTTTCTACAAATACACTTACCCACTCCAAACCCTTCTCCAGGTTGAATTCTCCCTTATGACAAAGAAAAACAATTAAGCAGAAAAACTCAATACAGTGACCAATTCTGACAGTATATACAACATCCTACCCTAAGTAGTCCCCAGCATCTCTGCCATGAAGAGGCAGGGATTTTAGCATTACTTTATCTTTGCCCATTTTTAGGGTTTTAGTTCACTAGAG